ACACAGAAATGCCAGATCAATGAGAGCACAATAAACCTAATTAGGAGACATTTTTGACACATGAAGCTTTAAGACCTTTGCCGAGATGAGTCATTTTTTTTGTCTGAAAAAGTCACTGAGATGGTTCACTTGTTGATACCATGTGGCTTACGATGGTTGAACAATCTTAGTCTACAAATCTGACCGAGGTTCCTCCAGCCAGTCCCTGTATTCATGGGCCCCAGTATTCATCAGCCAACAAAAAGCAAACAAAGCTTCTTTCACATTCATGTTCAAAACCAAGGTGGTCTGAGTTTATACTAGTGCTGTTTCAGAATGTCTCGTTCTCAATAAATACCTGTGAAATTCTCTGTAACAGTAAATCTGAATGTAAAATCAACCTTCTCCTTAAGACAGAACTAAGAATTAGGAAAAAGAGCCAAGGATAAAGAGAGAGGAAGACAAGGGATGAATTACAGCTCCCATTGGCTTTCTCACATCAGCACCATTTCCACTTTTTTAAGTAAGGGATTTTTTTTTCCTTTGGGGAAACAGAGGCAGCTGTAAAATTATCTTCTGTTTAGCACCTGGCTAGCTAGGTGAGACTACCCAAAATTCTACTTAGCTGATACAGAGAAAGGAAAAAAGTGAAAAACAGAGAGCTAGAAAAATAGTACACAGCAAGGACAAAGAAACAGGAAAAAAAATGAAAAGGAGAACAAAGAGTATACAAAATGGGGGTGTGAGGAGGGTACTAAAACGTACAGGAGAATTTTATTATTAAATCACACTAATTTTAAAAGCATGCCAGTCTTACTTTTTACTTTAAAAGTCATCATATCCACTGCAAAACAAAACAAAACAAAACAAATCTGAGATTAGTGTTGTCCTAAAATAACCCATATTTCCTACCATAGAGAACTGGGTAATTAAATAATGATATATCATGTTATGAAATTTCCCACATTCAACCATTTTTTCCAGCTTTATTGAGATATAACTGACAAACAAAATTATATATAAAGTATACAACGTGATAATTTGATAGACATACATATTGTGAAATAATTGCCACAATCAGGTTAATTAACATAACCAGTGCCTCACATAATTAACGTGTGTGTGTGTGCTTGTGTTTAAGGATGCTTAAAATCTAGGGATGCCTGGGTGGCTCAGTCAGTTGAGCATCTGACTCTCGATTTTGGCTCAGGTCATGATCTCAGAGTCATGAGATCAACCCCCAAGTCAGGCTCTGCGCTCAGGGGGAAGTCTGCTTGAGAAGCTCTCTCCTTCTCCTTCTGCCCCTCCCCCTGCTCTCTCTCTCTCAAATAAATAAATAAATAAAATCTTTAAAAAGTGAGAATGCTGGGGCGCCTGGGTGGCTCAGTCTGTTCAGCGGCTGCCTTCAGCTCAGGTCATGATACCAGGGTTCTGGGATCGAGTCCCACATGGGGCTCCTTGCTCAGCGAGGAGCCTACTTCTCCCTCTGCCTGGCTCTCCCTCTCTCTCTCTCTCTCTGTCTCAAATAAAAATAAAAAATAAATTAAATAAATAAGATAAAATAAAATAAAAAGTAAGAATGCTGAAGATACATTCTCAGCAAATTTCAAGGGTACAATACAGGATTATTAACCATAGTCACTATGCTGCACATTAGATCCCCAGAACTTATTCACTCTGTAACTGAAAGTTTGTACCCTTTCACCAACATCTTTCCAGTTCCCGGACCTCCCAGGGCCTTGACGATTTTTGACCTACCCTTGACCATTTTTGACCTACTGACCTAGCAAATTCATTTAGTTCAACCTAACATAATGGAATACTTTCCCACCATTAAAAAGAATGAGGTAGATGTGCACATGCCATTAGGGAAATGATAGTATTAGAACTCCAAACAAGACACAACATTGTGTACAGAATGTTCCCATTTGTACTTTTTAAAGAAACATATGTATGTTCATAGACATTTTCTGGAAGCATACCAAGAAATATGTCAACAGTTGCCTCTGTGATGAAGATTAGAAAGTCTGGAGTGACAGGGAGATTACTTTTCACTGAATACCCTCCCATCACTGAATATCCTCTCACACTCTTGAATAGCCTATTATATGCATGCATTACTTATTTCAAGTAAGAAAAAACCCGGATACTTTCCAAATGCCGCAATTAATTTGAGATTATTCAAATTATTTAAAACATTAACCAGTATTTACAACAAAGAACATTTTTTTTTTAAGATTTTATTCATTTATTTGACAGAGAGAGACACAGCGAGAGAGGGAACACGAGCAGGGGGAGTGGGAGAGGGAGAAGCAGGCTTCCCGCGGAGCAGGGAGCCCGATGCGGGACTCGATCCCAGGACCCCGGGATCATGACCTGAGCCGAAGGCAGACGCCCAACGACTGAGCCACCCAGGCGCCCATACAACAAAGAACAATTTTAAATAAGGTCATTACTTTGGTGGCCTTTTTTACCCCAAACCTAAACTCACCAAACAACTTCATGACCATAAGGCTCTTCAAGGAAACTAAAGTAAGTACCATGTTTTCATAATAATAATATCCATATATATGAAGCATTACATATAAGTGTATAATATATAGATTATTCATTTAAGTTATTCATTTAAGAAATATTTTGATTTCTTTTTCTTAAGATATATTTATTTATTTTGAGAGAGAGAGAGAGCATGAGCAGAGGAGGAGCAGAGGGAGAGGGAGAGACAGAATCTCAAGCAGACTCCATGCTGAGTGCTGAGCCCAACACAGGGCTCGATCTCATGACCCTGAGATCATGACCTGAGATCACAACCTGAGCCGAAATCAAGAGCCAGAGGCTTAACCAACTGAGCCACCCAAGCGCCCCAGAACTGCTTTCTGTCTCAAAAACCACTAGGCCTTGGGCTAGTCCTGGCCTCATTCTCTTCCAGACTCTCCCATCTTGCCTGTGGAGATGATTGAGCAAGTAGTCTTTTTCTAAAAGATCTTTTCTCTTAACTCTTCCCTGGATCAAATTTAGCAGCTCTCACTCTATGAATCCCCTTCCTACCCTAGCTCTCTTCCCTGAGAATCAGTATGTGTGATAAAAAGATATAACTGATGAAATCTGTAGCATATATGAACAGTCTGGATTGAGGTGGGGGGTCAGGCGGAGAGTTGGAGGCTCACCAGTCTCAGGAGATTTAGGTCTGGATCTCAGGTGTTCGTATATGAAAATGCTGATGAACTTGAGTTAGTATAAAATGCAGAATTTCTGAAATTCAGTACATCTTGGGAAATTTAAGAAATATTTCATTTAATGATCGCTCTCTAATCATGGAAAAAATCATGCACTAAATATTTTTATTAGAAAGTTAAATGGAAAACCAATAATAAATGTGCTTTTTGAATTTATTCTTAGTCTCAAAAACATGCTTTACCCCAAACCATAGATAATATAAAATTTAAAGAATATAAACTTAGCTATTACCATGAATTCATGAGACCTACAAATTTTAATTGTATCCCCCAGTTTGTTGTTTAACTTAACTCAAATTAGAGCCATCTCTAAATTTTCTTTCAAGTAGTATAAATGTACTGGTAAATTCTGATATGTTTGCCTGGAATTTTAACCATTTCATAAGAACCTATAAAATATGCCATTTTTTAAACCTGCCATTTTGCCCATTAGTAACACAGTTTTATGAACTTTTTTAAAATTAAGATTTCAAATGTTAAAGGCACTGTTAGAAAGTCCTTATCTTGTTTAGTCTTTATCTTCTCAAAATATATTAAACCCATATCCTTAACTTATCATAGATTCTATTAAATGAAGAAATGTCACTATTAAATGAGTTACAGGATGGGCAGTTAAAAAAAAAATGACCGAGGCAATCTTTGACTCTTTGCTAAGTGCATCTTGTTAACACTTGCATGTGCTTACACGTATTTATTTTACAAAATAAGGAGGCAGGCTAATAAAAGCATGATTTCAGAAACACATAATAAAAGTTCTACTCTCATATAGGAGTCCACTGACCTTAAAAAAACAAATTCTCATAAAAGTAACTATAGAGTTAACTTTTGCAAGTTTATTTTTAAAGAGACCACACAAACCCAATAATTTCATTGGTTCTCTTCAAATAACTCATTAAAGTACCCCAGTGATAACAGACTTTTAAGGTATGATGATTTTTAAGTATGATGAAAACTGAAAAATATGAATAATCCTTCAGTGTGGTAAGCATTTCCTATGTATATGCTCAAGATCTGTTTAAAACTCCCAACTTTGAGCCCTCAGGGGTCAAAAGCACCTGCTACATAAATAAAAGTAACACAGCTTGCTAATGTCCATATAACACAAAGAGGTTAATCTTCATTAAGATAACCATGGCTGGTAAGATCTGAACCCTGCACTCAGCAGGAACCCACGACTCAATAGCCTGGCTTGCTGATGTGTCACGCAGGGTATGTTTAACCGCCAGCATCATTTACGCAGGCGTCGCGCCTTCGCTTCTGCGGGAGGTAAGGGGGCTGTTTGCTGTCACCTCCCCACCCACCCTTTTGGAGTGGTCCTGGGGAGGAGACAGCTGCTGCCCGCGGGAAGGGAAGGTGGGGGGCTTCTTGCATCTTTGGGTGGTCGGCCTGCACTCGGCTCTCTGCGCAAGGCACATACTCCACCCAACCACTGCACTCAGGGAGGACAAAAAAAAACAGTCCTTCTAAGTTCCCTGAGTGGGAACTCTCAAGAGCGCTTCAGCATTTTCCCACGCTCCCGCCGAGCCGCTGGTTCCCTTCTCCTCCAAGTCGGCCGCCGAGCTCCCCGGGAGCCCACCCTGACGGCCTCCGGCCCGGGGCCGGGAATCCCTTCCTGCCGCGCGGCGGTCCAGCTCCGCCGGCCCCGCCCCCGGGCCAGGCCCCGCCCTCACCTTGTGCCCCACGTTCCCGGGATCGCCGGCGCGCTCCTAGAGCCCCAGGCGCCCTAGCTCCTCTTCCCCACCCCGAAGCCGCCCGCCTTCCACGCCGCGCTTAGGCCCGCCTCACCTTGGTCCGGATCTGCCCCGAGGTGGACACTTTGCGGATCAGTTTCTGGGGTCCCTCTTGCTCCGCTTCGCTGTCAGACGAATCGTCTCCGGGCCCCGCCGAGGCAGCGGCGGGGGTGACCGCGGCGCCGGCCGTGGCGGTCTCTCCTCCCGCGGCGCCCGGAGGGTGGTGCTGGCCGCCGGCCCCGGCCATCCTCTCCGACTCCTGCGGGGACACAGCACCGCCCGGCGGGGGCGGCGGCGGCGGTCAGTGGGTGCGCTCGGTCCGAGCCGGGCCCAGAGCCCCGCGCCCGGCCGCAGCCGCCATCTTCCGCTCTCCCAGCCGCCCCCGCAGGGGAAGGGGCGCGGGGGATCAGACCCCTTCCCGGCAGCGGCCCTCCAGGCCCCTCCGCCCGGTTCCGGCCAGAGCGGCGAGCTCAGTGGGGCACAGGGGACGCGGACCCTGGCCCGCTTAGGGACCCCCTGCGCACCCAGCCTCGGGATGTTACAGTGTTCCTGACCCAGAATACGACCTGCACGGGTAGAGAGGGTGGGAGTGACAGAGTGACAGGGGCAACCTACCACTTCCCCCTGGGGCCTGGGGTCCCCAGGATGGACGGGAGTGGGGGGCGGGGGAGGGACAGGAAACCTCCGCAGCCCAGCCCCGCAAGCCGGGCAGTGGCTATGCTCCCTCCCTCGGCTCACGGGCACCTGGGGCAAGAACGGCCCCTGGAGTAGAAAGGGAACCTAGAGCTTCCTCCCGACTCCCTTGGGTACACCCTGCCACCCCCTAGACCTAGAATCTCTCCAGAGCCTTGGGCCTCGCCGCACAGTTCCCGCTGAATAAAAGTCCCTTCCGCCCCCCAGATGGATGGGCGCTGCCCCTTGTCCCCCGTCTCACGACCCCTCAGCGCATCTCCGATGAACCATACCTCTCCCGCCTCTGCCTCGGGGTACGGGTCCTTTCAGCTCTCCCGACCGCGGTATTTAGTTCCTGGCCCACCCCCACCTCCATCCGGCGCACACGGAAGAGAAGAGCATTTTCCGGGAGGTTCCACTCCGCTCTGAGAACTTTTCGTTCAGAAAAAGCGATCCCTTTGGCTAACAGGAAACTGGGAAGGGCGTGGAGAGAGCGCAGAAACAAGAGAGTACACGCAGCCCAAGACCACAGAGTGCAAAATAAATGTCTAAACCGAAGCGCTAACCGAGACTGCCTGGAAGAAAACAATGCACTGAAACCATGTGAACACCAGTGCCCGAGCACGAAAACATTGGAGGTCCTGGGAGAGCCACTCCCTAACCCGGACCAGAGCCGGAGGAAATGGGATCAACAGGCTGCCGCCACCCGCTCACAGCTCGTCCCAAGCGAGCTGGCTAAGCGGGCACTTGGGAATAGCAGCCTCGCGGCGGGTGTGCACGCTCAGCGTCGAAGAACCCTTGTTGGTGTGGGAGGGCTTGGGGGAGAAGACACTAAAATGACAGATTGCTCTTGTCATCCACAGAGAACTCTAAACTTAGCTGTATTTTTAAATAGGGCAAAAAGTCCCCGCCAGGCTGTAGGGACTCTTCACACTTCAGTAAAGCACTGAATCTCTTCAGCGTGTTCATGTCCTTCAGTACCCATTCCTATTTTTTCAGTTATGACCTTCTACTTTTTCAGTTGACATGACCTTTAAGGGTCCTCCAAACTAGCATTCTATTGAAGTTTTGTTTTGTTTCTTTTTAGTTGCAATCTTACTCTCAACAATAATTTGATTGCTCTGTCAAAACTAACAGTTCTAAGGGGTTATAAAAAACAATATTCAATCCCAATCCTATACATCCGCATTGCTGATTAAAATGTAAAATGTGCTGCTTTGAATCTTCAGAGACAGGAGATTGCTGCCTTGAAATACGAACTGATGGAAGCTACTTCTCCAGCTTCTGTTGTCTTCTTTAGGAAGGGAAGGAGCCAGGCAAAATAAACTTAAAGAGCCGTTATGGCTCTGTAAATATGTAATTCTAGGTCTACACAGAACATATTGTTGTGAATGGAATTCTTTAAGAGAAAAATAATCAAAATAATGGCCTTTAGCCCAACCTGTTTGGTCACTGATGAGTCCAAGGTTTGTCAGCGTAGACATGAACACCTAGCAAAGGGCATTTTGAAAGAATAAACCTAGTTCAGACTCCTCCTGTAATGAAAGTGAGACCCAAAATCATGAGCTAGGGCCAAAGTCAAAATCGTATGATTATTATGCTAATGTTCTATTCACTTTAGCACACCACATAACACAATTATTGTTTGTATTCACACTTTAGGCTTTCAAGTTTTATACAGTACCATGTTCCTAAGTCCAGGCAGAGTGATTAAACTGAAACGCACTGTTGAACACCCATGCCCATCGGGTGATCTGAAGAGGGCTGAATAGAGTTCTCATTCTGATTCAGACACTGATTGCTTAAAGATACCTTAAAACAGATTCATGTGCAAGAGCTGGGCAATAAATGCCTCAAAGTGAAGGTATTTATTACTCCATAAAAATTTAACCTCAGTTGTACCTGCTCTTCAAAGACTCCTGTAACAAGTTCTGAAACTTGGTTGTGACTTTGAAAGCATAGCCAGTCTTACACTACTCATGCTAAATAAATTATCCCTGCTCTACAGTTTCCCTAGCACATAGAACACTGAGTGAAAATAGTGTGTAGGCAAATGAAGGAATGTCACTTCATTTCCCACAAAAAGCAGTTCATGAAAACCCTCTTTTCTTCAATCACCTCTTCTGAGGAGATTGTTTCAAGTAATCCCTAATGGAAGGTACCTGATCCATTAGATTCTTCTCAGTTCTTATCCATAAACTAGAAGTTTCCAGAATGAATATCCAATCTGGATAACGGTATACCTGCAAGGCACTTCACTTCCCTTAAAAATATAATAGCAATGTCAAGAGCTCCATACTTTCAACGATTTTAATGTAGCTCAGAATGGCAACTGAAACAAATTTCAAATATGTGGTATAGTACATTATTTCTTCGATTTACAAGATTCCCTTGACTTTTTCCTTACTTGGTGTTTTTAGATTTTCAAATAATTTCTTAGATGTGTATTACATATTTCTTTTATTATTGTTACTTTGAAATCTTTGGCACATAACATATCACAAACACACTATTAAAAACTTGGACATAAGCCATGTAGACACTGCATTTGGGATGAAATGGAAACAGAAGCTACCACTAAATCAGGTTTCTACTTTATAGGGCTTCCTGCCCCGTTTAAAAAAAGAAAAATTATGACACTGAAGACGTATAAATCACAGCCAATTCTCATTGTGATACCAATTTTGTGAATATTAGCATATTCTTACTGATAGATATTTTAAATTATATTCTTATTGACCATTACCTTTAACAAAAGAGGTTTCATATCCATTTGCAACTTTTAAATCCCTTATGTTCTATGCTTTTATGTTAAACACCGAATCACAAATAGGTAGAACGCTACACTTATATACTGAAGAACCCAAGTTGGACTTTCAAACAGTAACATTCTAGGACTCATATTCCTAATCAATGGGAACCATGCAAAGAACACTGCAGGCTGAATAAGTACAGGCCTGCTTTCATTCAAACTTTATAACTACTTCCATAATATACTATCTGTTGTATATTTGAAATTTAGCATTCAAAACTTTACTCCATTAAAATTTCCTTGGTTGTTACCTGAATGAAAAAAGATTTTAGATTCATCATGCTAGCAACTACATGTACCTATGGTCATCCCTGCACCTAAGGCAAAAACCTTTTGTCATCTAGACCTAATGCACAAATATACTTATAACTTCTTATCTATATTCTGGCCCTTTTTCCTTTGAAACTCTTCCCTTTCTAATTTCCCATTAGTTTATTGAATCATTTCATCAGAGCCAAAGTAGACAAAAATCACATGGAAATAAAAACAAATTTTAGTAAGTAAAATGTACCCTAGTATCCTAGTATCACTGTCTGAGGTCTGCTGTGTAAATACGCCCACAGTTTCTGAGTTTTGGCTGGAATTCAAGCTATCCATCTCCTCACCCCCACCCCAGGATATCATCTATGAGTAAGGGTTGTTTGGCTAAATATCTTCCCTCCCACCACCAAAATATTTTCATATTGATTAGAAATTTAGGTAATGCCTCTATTTCCACTGATCTGATTACATTCCAAAGCTAGCATTAAAGAAAATACACAGAAACCTGAACGCTAACATTTATCTTCTTTTAGGCCTGATGCCATAGCTGGAGTAATGATAAGGCTAACTGTTTATTTAAATGCCCTCACTTAACTAAATAACTTCATTTTATCTCCAAATACAAAGAATTTCTTGAAGTCCAGTAGCTGACTCTCAGCTCGACATGGGTATGTTGCAAGCCAGAAGTTCTGTTCTCTTTACTGTTATTCAGCATCAATTCCTGAGATTACGTTTACTCTTCTGTCTGAATAGTTCCATGTAGAATCATATCATGTTTTAGGTTTCATCAAAAAAGAACAAGGAGAGTAAATCCTTATAGGAATGCTACTATACGCAATAAGGAGTAATTCAGGATCATTGTAATGTGAGTATTTCCTACTCAATATTAAATATTCTTATTATAAACATTTTTAATGAGTATACTTTTATGGTAAAGTATTAATCAGACAGCAGATTTTCAAGACTCCTAGTCAAAGCAGATGTTCCTTAGCCCAGGGTCTTTGAGGGTCCATAGATTGGGCTTCAGGAATTCTGATTCACCTGAAATTTTATTATTATTTTTATATGCATATTGCATAGATACATTGTGAGGAGAGACTCCATAGCTTTGGTTAGACTTTTAAAGGGATCATTGACCCAAGATAAGTTCAAGAATCCCTGATTTTGATGAATTTTGTGTCCTTTCAAAACATATTTAAACTAAGCCGATATTTCCTCCCTGAAATAATTAACATTTAAGCAATCGTCCCCCCCAATTTATCTCCCCATTTCTTGTATGTGCCACTTTTCAGTAATTTGGGTAACATTTTTTTAAGGAACTTAAATGAGAATTCTTAGACTTTGTGGTCATACACATATGACCACAGGTTTTCAAATAAAATCACTTTGTCAAAGTATCATTTCGTGCCACATATGTGAGCTCTCTGAAGATTTTTTTTTAACTATCTGAATGTCAACTCCTAACATATATGAAACAAGACATTCTGTTAAGAATGTATGCTCTGTGAGGATGTAAAGATTTGTGTCTGTGTTAACTGCTATATACAACAATCCTGGAACACAGTAGATGCCAGAGAAAATATCTGTTGAGTGAATAAAAAGGCCTTCAGTGTTTAAAGAATATAAACTCAATTTTTTAAGGAGAGTTCTGCAGTCTGGGTAAAGTGTCACAGTTCATTCACACATCTCTGTTAGGGCTCTAGTTTTAAAGGCAAATAAAGAAGCATTTTCATTTTTGTCACTTAAAGTAAAGCAACATTAAACTTTTTCTCTATTTTCCTAGGTATGAAGTAGTTCTGCCATCGGTCCCCTAAAGTAAAATACATATAACAAGGTATTTTTCACTGTGATTGGTGTTGGCTTAAAGCATCTGGGTTCAAAAGGGACTTCATATAGGAAAGTTGAAAAGTAAAAAAGTAACAAAAACAGGTCAATGAATTTAGTTCTCCATGATCTTTGATTTAAACTTCAAAACCGGATTGTATTTTTAGTTTCAAGAACAATTTAATCCCCAGTGATAACCACAATAGAAGAAGTAAGAACAGATGGGCAACCTAACAACATGTTCAAATTTACAAAAGCAGAGACAGCTGCAGATACAGATGGATCAGAGTCCAAGGACACCTCTGAAAGGTTGGGAAACAAGAGGCAGAGAAATGTATTTGGGCAAAGGAGCTGAGAATGTACATACTAGCAAAGAAAAAGGAGAACCAAGCCTGGCACCTGACCTAGACGCTCTTAACAGGCAGGGGGCCAGCCTGAGCAGACACGCAGAGTCCCTGGGAAAAGAGCATCCGAACACGTTGAACAGAACACGGGTGAGGCCAGAAATTTCAGACGAGGGTTTCCAGATAGGTTCAAGAATTTCAACCAAGACGGAGGAGCAAACATCGAGGCAGGGCGTGGAGAGCCAAAATTCGATGCCAGGGAAAAGGCAGCCCACAGAGAATTACAGGGCTCTGAGTGAGACGGGGATTCCAGGGTAGAATCCCTGGAGGGATGTGAGGTGGCTCTGACTGTCTGAGTTGAAAGAAGGAAGTTGGAGGAGTTTGAGGGAACAAATCCAAAGCCCCCCGGTCTCCTCCTCCTTATCCTCACACACACAAAACACCCGCACACGCTCCTCTCGGTCCCTAAAATTACCCAACCTCTGGGCGGCATGTGCAGTGAGATCGAGGTTAGCTTCCCGCTTCATCCCTGGCAAAACCCTAGTACCCTGGAAACCCCAGGGCCGGAGCGGCTAGCAGGAGGCGTGGCTCCAGGCGAGCAGCCGGCGCCCGCCGCGGTCCTTCGGAACCTGCGCGCCCAGGTGACGGCCAGGGCGCGGTCTCAGGAGGGAAGAGCAGTCTCCTCCGAGCCCGCACGCTGCCCCCACAGTCTGGCGTTCTCCTCTCCCTCCTCCTGCCCCCCGTGCTCTAAAATCGAGTCAAAAGTTGAGGAGTCGATGAAGCAACGGAAACGGTCCTCCGAGGGCCGTCATCAGCGGTTCGCCAGCGGCCCCTCGCAGAGAGCCTCGGCTGGCCGGACAAAGGCGCTCCGGGCGGCGCGCGAGGAGGAGCCCGGGCGGCGGAGGAAGCGCTGCCCCGGCTGGGAAGCAGCTGGGGACCTCATCCCGGGCCATTTCCTGAACGGAACCCGGCCCGGGCGGGGGGGAGCAGAGGAGAAGTGGGAGGGGGTGGGCGCGGGCGCTGTACCCACCGGTTCCTCCCAGGCCGGGCTGCGGGCGCCGGGCGCGGGGCGCACGTGCTGTGGTTCCATAGCGCCGCCCGCGCCCGCCGGCCGCCCGTGCGCAGGGACCCAGGCCCCCGCCGCCGCCGCCGCCGCCGCCGGGGCCGCTGGATGCGCTTCCCTCGCCGCGGTCCTCTCGGCCGCCGCCGCCGCCGCCGCCCCGGCTCCTGCCCGGGGCCAGCCACCGGCCCTCCCGCCGTCTCCGGCTTCCGCCGCGCTGCGCTCTCCCGCCCCCGCGCCGGTCCCTTCCTCCTCCTCCTCCTCCACCTCCTCCTCGGTCCAGCTCCGAGCGGTCCGCTCCCCGCCGCCGCTGCCACCGCCTCCCACGGCCACGGAATCCTCCCCTCGCTCCTGCCTCCGCCCCCGGCTCCCTCCCCTTTTCCTCCCCGCCCGCCCCTCCCCCCCCGCCGCCCCCTCCTCCCAGCGGGCGGCCCGGGACGCACGTGACCCCCCTGTCAGGCCTTATAAGGCGCGGAACCGAAAGCGGCCGCCGGGTGGTCACGGGCACCGGGCGGCCCGGCGGACGCGAGCAGCCGTCCCCGGGGCCGGGCGCCGAGCCGCCGCCGGGCGCGCCGAGAGCGGCGCGGAGAGCCGGAGCTCGGCGGGTCGACGCGCTGGCCACCCGAGCGGCGGTGGCTGAGAGTCCCGGGGGACGCTTCCCGGCGCCCCTCTCCCTCTCTCCCGCTCCCGATGCCTGCAGCCCGCGCCCGCCTCCCTCCAAACGCCGGCTGCCCGGGGCTGCGGGCACCTCCCCTCCTTCGGGCGCTGAGGCTCGAAGGAAATCACACTGGACAGTTACCGACTTCAACAGAGCAAGGGAGATAACTGCACTCCAGCGCCGCTCGCCAACCAGCTGTGCCAGGGGTGGTTTATTCTTTGTGATGTTAAAAAGATTGCAGATGGGTTAGCATCTGCAGGAGGGTTTAAGCTTGAGAGAGAGTGCTTCTTTGATTCATTTTTAATGATTAACGGTTTCGTGGAAAGAAATCCGGCCACGGAGTCGATCTGCCTTCCAGTTGCAGCAGTACATTCAAATTGGAGAAAGGGACTGGCTCCCAGTGAGTGCTCAATAAATGGCAAGTCACCTCCTCCAGCCCTTTGAAAACAACGTTACAAATGGCGCTTCCGATTATCATTCTGGCGTGGAAATCGGTTTCCCTCTAGTTCCAAGCCAAGAATGGCTTTTCACGGGCTAAACCCTCTCCTGGACTTTCAGGCTCCCTCTATCAGCACCTTCCCACGGCTCTTAATCATGTCAAACACATTCACACATTTTATAAACAAACTGAAAAATTAAAAACACTTACTTGATCCAGTCTGCCTCCAGTCCTCACCTCCTCACAGCCAAGCTTTTTGGGAGATCAACGCCTGTTCTCATTATTCTCACATACATTTCTTAATCTACTACTCATTCTTCCCTGCAGAGGGACTTCCACCGAGGTGACCCTGACAAAGGCCATTTGTGGCTTTAAAAATGCCCTAAACAATGAGATTGTTGTTGTTATTTTCAGTTCTCTTTTTACTTAACCCATCTGCAGCATTTGTCATTGGGGACCTGACTTTTGTCCTTGAAACTATCCCTTCCATTGGCCCCTTGGACACTTCCGTCTCCAAGTTCTCCAGCCGTTTCTTGTTCAGCCCTCTTGCCACCTCTTACATGTTGAAGTGCCTAAATAATCTGCCCTTGATCTGTTTCTAATGCTGCCTGGTCTATGCACACCCACTCATGAATGACTTCAACTACCAACCATGTGCCGATAACTCATAAACAGCCATCCCTACCCCAGATCTCCAGTTCTGTAAAGCTGATGTCTTACCAGAAATTTCTACCCCGACATCCCATGGGCCTTAAACTCAGCTTGATTAAAACAGAAGGTAATTTTCCTGCCAGCTGGCTTTTCTCTTTTGTCTCATGCTCTCGGTAAAAGTCTTCATAATCCACCTAGTCACCCAAAGGAGAAATCTGAAAATTGTCCCAGGTTCTTTCTTCTCTCTCCCATTTGCCCCCTCCACACACCAGAACATTCCTATCACCTTCCCTCCATTTCACTGTTCTTGCCTGGTTTCAGGTCCTTTGTTTCAAGCCCCAGAAATATTTCATTTCTTTCCTTATTAGTCTCACTGTCTCAAAGCTGGTGGGACCTCCACCACTGCCATCTCTCACATTGTGGCCAAAGTAAGCCTTCTAAAATACAAAATGGAGTGGGTCATCCCCTGAATAAGCCCTTTGAATAGTCTCCCATTACCTGTAGGATGAAGTCCCAGTATCTTAGCCCGTATCTATTTCTCCAATCTCATCAAACAACTCTGAGCTCCTCACATGCAGTTTCCTGTAAGGCCACTTAATTTTATGCTGTGCTGTCTCATGGGATGTCCTTCTTCTTACTCAGCCTGTCCAAACACCTGCTCATCTTTCAGGATTCAATCTAAGAGTCGCTTCGTTATTAAATCTTTTGACCCTGCTGCAGGTTAGAACTGGCCACTCACTTGAAATGAAATGCACACCCCCCCCACCCCATCACAATGCCTTGGAAGACTTTATTAAACTCATTTTTTAACATAGTATCCCCGACGACAAGTATTATGACAGACTTAATCTCCATTTTCCTAGTTCTCAGTAGTTTCTGACGTATCATAGGTGCTCAGTAAATGTTAAATGAATGAATTATGTGATAGAATTTGAATTACCATATTTTATGGCTATAGAAAACCAGTTTCCCGTGTATTATCTCATTTAATTTTCACAATTCTGCAAATAAAATATTATCATCTTTTATGGTGATGGAAATTGAAACTAGAAAAGAATGAAGCAATCTGCCCAAGGTGCCACTGTATAAATCGCAAAGCCAGGACTATAATCCAGTTGCCTAGGTAAATTCACTACATGTTTATCTGTCCATTGTTTTTTCACCTTAAATTCTATTTTGCACGCTACCATGGCTTTCTTTTTGTTAGTGGTTGCCTGGTATATATCTTTTCATCTCTTTATTTCCAACCATTCTGAGTCATTATGTTTTAAGTGTGTCTTGTAAACAACAGTTGAATTTTGGTAGTATTAACTCATTCTGAGAGTCTGCCTTTTAGTAGTCGATTTTAATCAGTTTTCATTTATCATGGATGTTAATTAGGGTACACGGTGATTGTAAGAAACAGATCCTTCCTCTCTGGCTCCTCCCAAGCACAATGTTTATTTCCCTCTCCTGAAACAGTCTTAGGATAAGTGGTCCAGGTTGTTAGGGCCGCTCCTTTGCTCCATATTGCTATTCCATCCCCTAGGGCATTGCCTTTATCTATGAGGGAGAAGGTGGTTAGGGGAGTTCTAGCTCAAGGAAGGAAGAAAAGAGTATAAAGGAGCACAAGCCTAACTTCTTAAGGCTTAGATCCAGAAGTGATATGCTTCTCATCTGCGCATATGGCATTGGCCAGAACTTAGTTACATGGTCATACCTAGCAGCAAGGAGGCAGGAAAATGAAGCCATTAGCTGGGCAGCCATGTTCCAACCACAACTCTATTACTATGGAAGACAGAAAACAGGTTTTGGTGAAAACTAGCATTCTCTGTTACACCAGGAATACCGTCTTTGGATTAATTACCACCAACTTCTCATGTCATATTTATTTAACTTTCTTTTTCTTTGCTTCTTGTTTGCCCTTTTCTTGCTTTCTATTCCATTAATTGAATTTTCTTTCATTTGCTCTTTTTCTAAACACTCCTACTGTTTTGGAATTTTTACCTTTGATTTCAATTCTCAGTGGTTACCCTTAAAATATTAACGTTTATACTTAACATCCAAGATTCCATCAATATCTTCAACCCCTTCCTTTAAAGATGATCTTAAACAAACAAAAATAAATAGAACACCTTAGTTCGCAATTCCTTTCCTATAAACTCTGTATTGCTATCTAGTATTTTTTAATTCCCCATGTATTTTTTAGTTCTTCACTAAATTAGTCATCACCATTACTATTTTTATAATTATTTAATTAATTTTCCCAACATAGTTTATCAGTGTTTTTCTTACTATTCGCTTTTTGTATCTCATCCTTTCCTTCTGGGCTCAATTTATGTTTTGGTGAAATATGTTCTTCAGTATTTTTCTTCATCGTATTTGCGAGTAAAATTCTCTGTTTCATCTCTCACTCTCATTTTATTTTCTCTCACATTCTTGAATCAGAATTTCGTTAGCTGAGGAATTCTAAGTTGACAACCATGGACTCCAACACCTCGATGGTACTGTTTCATTACCTTCTGGCATCTACTGTTTGGTGATAGAAGTCTGGTCAGTCTCAATATTATTCCTTTATAGATTTTTTTTCACCAGAGTAACTTAATATTTTCTCTTTTTTTTTCCCCCCAGTTGATGCTTACATTAGTGATTTGTGTCTAGGTAGATTTTGTTTTTTAGATAGCTTCTTCAGGGCTCAATATTCATCTTCAGCCTGAAGACTCGGGTCCTTCTTCAGTTTTGGACAATTTTCAGCCTTTGGGTACTTCAAATATTCCTTGCCCCCCACCCCCACTCCCACCCCATGCATTTTTTTCCTCTATTTTATCTTTCTGGAACTCCTATTAGGTAAGAGTTTCTCTTTTTCTTCCACATTTCCGCTCTTTTTCTCTGTGCTGCTCTTGGGTAATTTTCTCAGATCCCTTTGATTCTCTCTCAGATTCTCTTTGCAGCTGTATTATATACTCTTTAATATGGACATTGAATTTTAATTTATTTACATTTCCAAAACTTTCATTTCTTTTGTTTTCAAATCTACCTGCTCTTTTTTTTTCATAATATCTTACTTTTGTCCTAGAGTCTATTCTTTCCTTTATCCTTTGAACATTTTAAACACATTTATTTAAAGTCTTTCAAATTGCTCTAATAGAGCACACTTACCACGATGCACACTGAGTACTGTATAGAATTATTGAATCACTATATTGTACACCCGAAACTAATATAACACTGTATGTTAACTATACTAGAATTAAAATTAAAAACCTAATTTAAAAATTGTTCTAATATCTATAGTTAACAGAG